ACTGCGTCTATAACTACGATTGAGGCTTCTACAGTGGGCGATTGAGGTTGAGAATAGGATGCGTCAATAAGGTAGCGTCAGTGAGGGGGGCATGGATTTCCTCGAAAACAGACAATGTATCACCAGTAAACTCAGGGAACCCCTGGGGCTAGAAGGTACGTTGATGAGCAGCAGTATAACGTCAGTATAGTTCACTAGAAACTGGCGATAAAAGTTAAACACGCCAGAGAACCGTTGCAACTGATGTTCGGAGGTAGACAGAGAGGAATCACAATTGTCTTCAACCCTGGATGTCAGAAGGCGCAAGTCTTCAGACTTAACATCGTGGCCAGAATTCAAGATAAACCATACTAGAAATGCACTTGGGAGGATTGATAATGACACCATAGTTGTCGAGACGGTCAAACACCAAGGGGGGGGGGGTCGTTCCTTGTGTTCTTCAGCATTCCGAATGGCCACTGTCACTAATGTGACAGTTCGACTGTCGCAACTGACGATGTCCATCGTGTGCTCCACAGAAAGGTGAAGCCGACACGGTGACTTGCGCGTGAACTGGTATATAGTGAGAATGGACTTGCGCAGCATATACCGCACCCCTCCTCCCCACTTGGGGCCGGTATCCAGGCACAGTCAAGAAGACCGCGGGCGGGAGAGGGCACAAGTATCTGGCACGCCCGGACCCGCACCTAGGCATACCACTACACCCTCTGGTCAACAACAAATACTCGACCAGGATTTTAACTAACAAGAGAATGGCAGCGGATCAAACAGACGAGGATAACTGGTCAGCCATGCTTACGACCTGTATACCCAACGGGAGTGCGAGCGCATCTACCGGCAGGGAACCAGGTGCCAGGGAACTGCCGATAGTCGATGAAGACGTTCACGACCAACTGTGTAATTATTTACCATACTGACAACACAGGTACTAGCTAAAAACACAGACACGCGCGCTTCGCCGATCTCGTGCGGCCGCCTGACTCAGCTGCGAGGGGCTCGGCTCATCAATGGATTCCCCAGCCTTCCTCGTGTGTTTTCTGGTATATAAACTCCCGTTTCTTATTAGTTTCCGGGGGAATTAAGGCGCAAACTTGGAGTGAATTCTTCGAAACAGACCTTTTCAGATACGGTTCGAAAGTTGATATGAATATTTGTGCTGAAATCAGCGTCTTTGAAATTCCGAGGGCTTTATTCCAGCCGCCTTATCTTCTGAAGGATCTGAGCTTGGTCATCAGCCTTACTATAATAAAACTGCCATGCGTAAATCTATCACTATGCGATAAACGTCGTGGCTTGGAATGTTGCCAACTAGCAATACAACTAAAACCAAGCGAGCAGGCGATTTCGTGTGTGTGGAATGGCTCCTTAATGTGGTCTCTATGACACTCACGAAATTGAGGTTCGGGCTGCCGGCCTTCAATTTGTGAACACCTTTTCTGTGACTGTCTCTGACGATGGGTTCGAGTGAGAATTCGACACGTCAGACTAATAGGGTCCTTGTTCCAGCGATCGTATCTTCTTCTTCTTCCTTTTCTTCTGAGCTTTGGTGCATTGTACGTATGTGACATGCGTGGCCGTACCATGTAGCTCCGTCTGTCACTTGTGCCCAACTCCGAAATCAGACGGCTAACCGGCTCAGACAGTGGACTGGTGCTCGAGAAAGGGAAGAGGGAGTGTGGTCGACCTGGGAACTCCGTTCGCACGGCAGACCGGCGCATTTCTTCGCTATAAGCAGTCTGACGCGCTTTTAAGCTATCACGGTGCGTTAAAATCCGTGGCTTTGAGGGATGACGAGATGAGTCAATCCTCCTCTCAGAACGGAGAGTCAGGCTCCAAGGACCTCTTAATGAAACCTATATGACACTCGCGCTCACTCGACCACATAGTGTTTCTGCGAAAACCTGGCACATCGTGCGCAGACCCAACGTGCACGGCACGCTGTTTACGCTTGTCAGTCAGTGTCCCGGATCCGCCTCCGGCCTTTCGGACTCTGTCTTGACACCAGACCCAGGAGGGTTGGGGAGAAGAGAGTGCGGCAGATAGTGTGCAAGCCTGCTATTTTACTATAAACTACTTCCCGTGCAAGTCACCGTCCCTGCATCCACCATGCTGCGAGGCACACGGTGGGCATAATCGCTCACGGGGAACGAACTGACGTGTGCCGACAGAGGCGCACCAACCGTTACACGGTGATCCTTGTTCTGGAAGCCTACAGGACTGAGGCACCACTCTATGTCTGGGATATCGTCAAAGTTTATGTGCTGTTCCAAGATCCGATCCTATCGATGAACTCAGCCCTATCGTGACGTAAAAAAACCCCTGATCGCTATCGGCTATTTGCGACTGCAAACCTGGAGGATTTAATTCGCCCAATGAAAAACTTGTCTGGGTCGTTCTCTACTCTGTACGTGCTTGCATTCACTAACCTCGAAAGATTAATGAGTCGCGGCCAGAAGGAAGTACGGGAGGTTGGCTGCATTATTGCGCGCAAGAGGCAGAGGGTGAACTCCAGCAGGCCGCGCGTGAAGGCCATGTTGCCGATCGATCAACCGACATCCCCAAGCATACTGCATAAATGCCGGTGATGGAAAAGGCTGTGGACACGAAGTGACGCCGATGAGCATGAACGGGAGCCGATGCAGCCCTGTAGTGGTGACGCACCTACGGATGTCCTAGGGTGTACCTTGCCCCACAAGCAAACATGAAGCCCGAAATGACTTTGCTAGTAACTCCATTAAAGGTCATGTCCGTCAATACCAGTTATCATTACACGAAAATGAAAACACTGAAAATCATCTAACGTCGCCACAGTTAAGGCCTCGAACTCTGAACGATTGCCGTACGCGTGGCCGCATTCGAGTCGTCTGTAATTCTACATTCATCAAGGTGTATATGCGCAGCATGGTCAGATGATTCCTGTCTCCCATTATCCGTTAAAATTCAGTAGGTAGTGACCTTTCAGAGAGATGTCGCAAGACCTGCACCAAGAACACTGTAAGGATTTAAACGGACTTCAAACCCATGAATCATACGCCTCACAGGAGCACAAAGATCCCCACTCACATAGGATTAGCTTTCTGCCGCATACTAACGTTTACGGGATAACTCACTGGGAGGTTGCTTCCCCTAGTCATGTCCATGTTATAATTGACTTCGATTGGTCGGTACGCTGGACAAGAGAAAATTACGAACATGCTCAGTGAGCGCGCCCGGTTTACCTTCAACAAGCCCCTAGATGCAGGACAGGAATGCAAAGAATAGACGTCACACTGGCATGACAAGGTAACGAACGCACGACAGGGATCAGTGAATTTGCAAACACTGCCGCATTTACTGGAGTCCCGCACACCTATTGTAGCCCTAAAGACTACAGAGCGTCATCAACATCCGTTCCAGAGGATAAGACAGTACTCGACGGAATAGTGCGGAAGTGGTAGGTCGCTCCCAAACCGTAGCACGCATGGAGCCCGAGGCCTCGCATACAGTCAATGACCAGTATCATGGAGTTAACGACTAGGAAAGATTATCTAGCTAGGGTCGTAATATCGATCATCCTGCGGCATAGTTCTAAATTTCAGTCAGGTGAGGTCGTATTGTGGATGCGCCTCTTCCCAACTGCTTCAGTGTAATTTTTTAGTCATGGATATCCACCTCCATGCTCATTATGCAACGAACCGCGCATTCTCCCAGTCTTGTACTCGAGGTACGGGCACACCGACTTTTTTAAAGGTCTCTGGTTATCAGATGTTCTACGGTCGCGAAATATTCGTTCAAATGTTATCGCGTCCGCAGGTCTAACCATTCTTTGCATGAAGCAAACAAAACCGAACACACTAACTGCACAATCTCGCAAACCCTATACTGGCTCTTCTTAACAGCGCGCAGGAAGTTGTCATTTCCCTTACGAAGAAAGTACACAGCACGCAGTTTTGGGACAGTAAACGCAAGTACAACAGGGGGCCGGGTAGACCGATACTCTCTCGTCGAACATAAAATCAGACAGGGTGGTTTCCTACCAGACGAGCACAAGAAGGGACAACCCTGAGCATGTCGTTTTGCAGTGTCTGGATCTTCAAGGAATCCAAAAATGAGCGCGACGTCGATAGTACTTAAGTAGCTACTTTGTAGCGAGTACCTCGCAGAAAGCTGGAGGGGAGTGCATTTGGAAGCCTGCACCCTGGCGCGACCGAGATATCTCGGGACTATGCTGCACGATGGTCAAGTTGCAAATCGATTAACACAACTCCTTCCAACCGAAAACGCATTTCAGAATTTCATGAGACTGGTGACCGATTATGCTTGACAAGACACCAAGTGGGCCTCAACCGCTGTTTCCATGACTGGGATAGAGCATTCGTCGCAGATTTTGGGAATGCGGACCCCCAGCTTGAGCAGATAAATCACTTCGAGTTGGCATTTCAGTCAGCGTCGTAACACGTGCAAAGGTGAGACCGGCTTGTTAGCACAGGTTATGAAACCCTCGGTCTTAGGTAGTGGAGTTCGGCGTCATAATCTAAATCAAGTCTACATAGCTGTTCTTCCTGTCAAAAGCGGTCAATGATCGATTAAGGACCCTAGGAAGACCAAGCTACCTACGGCAGCTTCAATATCTACAAGCAGCTATAAACTACAGTGGCTTAATTATCTGGTGGAGGGCAGAAGCAGAAATGACAAGACACTGGGACTGATCACCGATAGATGGCCTTAGCGCAGCAGTAAATGATATAAGGCAGACCTATGAGGAACGTAGAATAAAAAAGAGCGGACAACCAAGTCTGAGACACTTTTCTTTCCCAGTATGGGGAAACCATGATAAGATGGCTTGGCATCACTAATAAAAAAATTTTGTGCGCTGAAAACTGTACATCAACACACTAATGAAGTTTCCTCAATACAAAAACAAAAAAAACATTTGGTGGTCAGAATAATCGAAGGGCCTGATTCCTCTGAAATTTGTGTTCCTGAGTACAGATGGGAGATCATGTGGTCTTTGTCGACTTTCAAGACGAAATAACACCCTGTAGATATCGATCAATAACTATGCTTGCAAACAGCATCATCCCAACGTGCCGGTTGTGACGGAAGAAACCAAAACAGCTCGCTGGGTTGTATAGATCGGTCTTGTACAGCTACAATTTTAACAGGTAGAGTGGAAGTTTTAAAGGGGGCAACAAAATATTCATTTCAAAGAAATGAAAATCAGAGTCGAAACTTTAAACAGTTGACATCTCTCGTGGGTAGGCGGTGATATGCTCAGTAAACCAAACAGAGGACATTGGAAAAGGAGGCGCCGTTTCCTAGGAGTGATAATTTGACGAATTCCAAATCAGTTAAGACCGGCTATTGTTTATTAAGGTCGGAATGCTGAGCCACAGAAATCCTGGGTCGTTATAAGTTGAGTCGTTCACTATGACTACAAGAGTGATGAGCACGTACAAGGTTCAGACAAGTGGGTTGCCAGCAGAAAATGTCTAGGTTCGACATGGGCCCGCGCGAAACGCGATACCTTACTGTGTCGTTTAAAGCCGACAAGGCGGACCTTGATCAACTCAACCCAAGAGTCATTTATGCCATCTAGTGGAGCAATGATGAACGAGATTGGATATAACATAGCCTGGCCCCTCGCCTCCCCCTGAGCACAGGCCACCTTCGTAGGACATTGTTTTATGCAGCATGCACTATGCCATTCTATTTCTGGAGAGCGTAAAAAATAATCATTTAGTTAGTGTGATGTCTATATGAACGAGATCTTGCCAAAACCCTTGTAAGTATCGAAGTCCAGACGCGAACGGAAAGCTTACGATCGGTCTTCACGCGATAAGACAACCTCAACACAAACACAATGCTGTATCAGACCCAATGCTATGCAATTCTAAGATTAGGAAGAAAAGTAATACTTTCAGAACTATTGCCGCGGTCGTCTTACCGGGCAATTCAGGAATGAGGGTTTTAACGTCGAATTTTTATAAGAGTTTTAGTCCTGGGCCTAGCGGGGAAGTATTTAATCCACCTGATGGTGCAACTCCTGAAAAAATTGGTGGCGCACCACTAGATGACGGCGGAAATATTTATTTACACGTAAATATACGTCTGCACTTAACAATGAATTCGCTCCGAAAGTACCCACGTTCATGCTGCCGTTCGAGATAGTAAAGGAGAAAGCAATCACTTGTGGGAAGACCGCCAACGAAGACTGCGGTGGTCATTTCACACCCTCACCACTGCGGGCGCCGCAACCTGATATACAAACATTCCATTTGAGGATGCGTTCGCATTCTCCCGCAAACTATGACTACCAAAACACCGCGACGGTCTAAATGTTGCATGGTTGCAAGTCGAACGTGCCAGTTATTTCGTCAAATCAAGAACATGTTCTAGGCAAAGAAGTGTTATGATATCAGTCACTCCGATAACCCGAAAGCGACGCATTATTACAGCGAAAAAAGTGGCGGCTAGCTGCCCTTAAAAGTAAAACAGTGGTTCGAACTTCATGCGTCGTATTACTTGTTTGCAGCGACATAAAACGGTCTAGTCAAGTGCACTATAAGTCGTAACTAGGGAATGTAGACCTGACCCTACTGCTGGATTTATGGAGTCTAAGTTTGGTGGTATTGAGCGTACGCCGGCCTACACGAACAGTGGGTTTTTTGAGGCTTCAAGGACAAGTCCCTCTGGATTTCAAGGACGAGAAAATCATCCATCTTTACAAGAGAAAAGGTAACCAGCAAGTCTGTGACAACCACAGAGGAATCCCGCTATTGAACATCACCGGGAAGGCCTGCGTTCACACCCTCCCCAATCACCCCGATGGCCATCAAGGACAAGGACTTCTGCCGGAAAGCCAGTGTGGCTTCCGATGACACCGCGGGACCATCGACATGATCTTCGTCGCCCGTCAGTTACAAGTATCAGGTGATTCGGACCCAACTCTAAACTACTTTCTTAGATCTGACGAAAGCCTTGGACACGAGTCGCGATGGACTCTGGAAAATCGTGCAGGAAATAGGATGTCCTGGGCGATTCAAGCACAGATGCGTTACCTCCATGACGAAATGACGCACGTCACGGACAACAAAGCCAACTCAGAAGCATTTGCAAAGACTAAAGAAGTGAAGTAGGGCTACATACTTGCTCCCATCCTCTTTGGCCTCATGTCCTCTGCCATGCTGATGGACACCATACCGTGATGAGCGTCCCGCGATCAGCATCGCCCACAGGATCGATGGTCAGCTTCCGAATAACCTACGCATGTAGACCCCCACGCGTCTCTCCACGACTACCATCTACGATTGGCTCTTCGCGAACGACTGCGCACTCAACACCGTGACAGATGCAAACATCCAGCTGAGTCTAGACCTCTTCGCCTCGAGCTGCGCCAACTTCGAACTGGTCATCGGCAGGGACAAGACGGTGGTAAAGTATTAGCCGCCGCACAAAGCTGCATAATATGTTCCCCACATCCAAATCACGGTAGGCAACTGAAGACCGTAGACAACTTAGCCTATTTATGCAGTACACTCCGCCACAGCACCAAAATCGATGATGAGGAAGAGGGACACCTGGTCTCCAAAGTCAGCTAGGTCTTCGGCCGGCTGCATGACTCTTGATGGAATCACCACTGTCTTCATCTATACATTGAACTGGAGATATACAAGGCTGTCAGCTTGGAGACGTTGCTGTATGATGGGAAGGCCTGGATAGTCTACAAGAAATAGGCGCGGAAACTCAATCAATCCCACCTCAACTGTTTCTGCTGGATATTGTATCTGAGGTGGCAGGACAGGGTCCCGGACACGGGAGTTTTGGAATGGACTGAAATCATCAGTATCAACGCCATGTTGAGACGACTGCAACTACGATGAAGTGGACGATGATCGACACTCCAAACGACTCTTCTGCAGAGATCTCTACGAACACCGAAAGTGAGGTCTTGAGCGCCGAAACAAGGACACCTCGAGGAATTCCTTGATAGCGATTGCAAATTCCACCCGAATACCTCGTGTAAAACCGATCGGCCTGCAGAGGAGCAGTGAAGATTGCAGCGGCAATGTGTGAAGCCAACCGAATCGCCGCTACCAGTCTCAGGCGCTCATTATCCGCAAGGTCAACGTCCAACTCCCTCTCAACATGTCCGCGCTATTAACGAACGTTCTGCACGTGGATTGCTTTGCCAGACATCTTGGAACCAAATTCACCAACGATCCGAAAACCCAACCGTTGCCTCATCGGCCGCCCCCACCCTAACCCCCACGGCGTCCACGAAGATGACCATCCTCACCACCGATGATCACAATCCCGATGCCCGGTCACCGTCGATCACCGCCATCTCCATTATCCCTACCACAACGGCTACGATCGCCATCTCTCCCATTTCCGCCACCAATGAAAACACTTCCGACGCCCCAACAACAACCATCTTCACCACCACAACCCTTAACTCCAACGATGTGGACTCGGTTCCAAACTGTCCTAACTATGATCGAATACTCACCTCACGCACCGGGTTAATTGCGAATCCATCGCACAGAAACTGGCGAACCAGTGCCTGGAGCACCAACACCATGCATCATTGACTCAACTGCCATTGCACATTCAGTCATCGCACAGGCCTGCTCGGTCACACGTGCCGCCATGAAAACCTGCGGTAAATCACAGCATACATGAACAAATTCGACATCTCACACCGTCGGCACCTCTCACGCAGGTGCCCTTCCGTCACATGTGAGACACGAGCAGTCTATCCCATTTTATGCGAAATCCCGATGTGCGTATAGGAGGCCAGGTTGTGCGTGCGGCATGAGCAGATGAGCCGTTCCCAGGTGTCAGCTACCTCTCCTAATCTTGGTGTCAGCTGGTTGACCAGGTTGGACAGTCGACTGGTGCACAGGGAAGAGTGGATTGAGTGGGTGGACAGCCGGCGCACAATTCCTTAATATTAGAAGTCTAACACGCTTGAAACTATCACGGTGCGCTAGAAGTCGTGGCCAGGAAGGTTATCGACTCATTCTTCAACCAAGACCATGCAACCAGCCCAGGTGCCTATGAATGTTGGCTGGCCGACTGGTGGATTGAGAGTCAAACTGCGATGGCTCCTCTTTAATGACAACCAAATGTGGTGTCTAATTCGGGTCAATAGCAGTCACCCGGAGACATGACTGATTTCATTTCTCACTACCAGTTTGTCAGGTAAATTGGTATGACCGAAATATCCTGGATAGCAACATGAACGTCTATGAAATTGCAACTGACAGCTATTATGTTACAAAAAGCTTGTCCACGAACAAGATCGGACTCATATGGATAAGAGCATGAATATGTGTAACCGAAATCCGCAGACTGCATGCGATAAGAAAACATTTGACTAAATGTCTTAAAAGCAAGTTGCTTCAAAAAACTTACTGAGAATCCCAAGCGAATCATGGAAAGACCCGCGCCCAGAAAGTATATCCACCCTGATTCGGATGTGATTCCGACAATTCCAAGATTGGCCGCCATAACGATGGCAAATACCGACAGCCACTTCTTCGTGTCATCCCCGAAGAGGATGGCCGTGGACTTAAGACCCAGCTTCTTGTCGTACTTTATGTCCTTAAAAGGTGGATATTTGATCAGAGGGGGTGAGTGAATGGAAAAAATAAGCTCTGGGTTCACGCAAACACACCTGATGAGCATAAACAGTATCGTATATGACAGTCCATGCGACAGCAGAAAAGTAAAGTGGGAGGCAGATCATGAGGGGACATGTGCCGTTAATAGCTGAAAAACCGAGGAACACGCCCCAATTGAAGGTGAATCCTTAAAGTAAACAAGAACCGAGAGTAAATTGAAATACACAGACGGCATACATTGAAAGCGCAACCCAGAGCAAAGCGTAAAACGAAAACATGCAAGTTTGCCATTGCTCACTTGATGCGAATAGACTGAATCATACATAACTGTCTGACAAAGACCACAGATGTACAGAGGAACACATATTGAAAAGTTAAAAGAATTTACGGCAGTATATCCCAACAAAGCCCCCCAATTGAGGGTTGCCCCTAGAAATGGGTGATGAGCTCAAAATGACGAACTTACCTAGCATTAACTGGGGCCAATAAGTAAAGCGTTTGAATAGCGGGTAAGTAAAAACAAGGGCCAAGCAACTAGAGCCTATCAAGATACTGCAGAGTGGAGGATTTAAATCAGTAGTACCTTTCGGTATTAAGTTGTAGCAACACTAGAAGCGCGGCTGACAGTTCTAGGCCTAGGAACACAAAGGCATTTGATACAGAGACAGATCCATTGGCAAGGGGCCGGTTTTGTGTACGATACACCCGGCTGTCAATATCGCGATCAAGTATGTCGTTAATTGTGCAGCCAGCACCGCGCATAAATAGAGCACCCATCCCAAAAAGTGCCAAAATACCAGCATCGGGAAGACATCCTGGAGGGGCAGCAAGTGCAATGCTCCACGTACTCGGCAAGTAGACGAGCCAAGTACCAGTGGTCGTGTCAAGACGGGCGAGCTTCATGTAGGGGTGGGCCGCCTTCGGGGCAATTCGAAAAAGAACATTTGGAATGGCCGAGTGTGCATTTGAAGTAAGCCCGATGCGCGCACAAGGTAAATATTTCTGGATTGAGAGTCCCTTGATGAGATTCACCCTTGAGAGTGCCATTTTCAGACGAAAAGCCGGAGCGCGCGAAAGCCGAACATCACGCACGCCCACACTAGTTGACCTTTGAATTACCGCCGGCAAACTAACGAATTAAATCAAGTTCGACAAGACAGTGGAAATATCCGACTTCCAGATGGAGGTCATGACTCTTCACGGAAGACAGAGTTTTAGCACCAAAGGAGACCAAAACGTTCAGAACTACCCAGCCAAAGTTGTTCAGTCTCAAGACTTAGTTACTAATATTTTAAAAAGTAGACCGGAAGAGAAAGCGGTCTTCCGCAGTCTCATCACCATTTTGGCCTCCTTCTGGGAGAACATGAGCTGAGTATTTGTCCAAATCAGGATATCGAGAAGGCGGATAATGCGGACGTAAACCAGTCTACCAGGGCTAAAAGCGATGGATTTGCCGCGAATGGAGGTTTCGCTAACCTCTTGTTGATCTAACCATTGTCTGTTAGGGTACGGGTCAAGAGCTAAGTACTAGGATGATTAAAGGAAATGTAGAGAATGACAAGCAGAAATGGGTGATCAAAACTGTTTCGAAACCGGCATCAAAGATTAGAGTTCGAGAAAAATTAGGCGACCAAAATTAGAAAACCAAGTAGATTGACGGACCATGAAAAAGCTGGTTGAGAACAAACAAGACGGTTGAATCTATGGAAAGTGATGAAAACTTGGTTCAAGCGTGAGATGGGCAATGAAAGCAAACAACTTTTGTACATTTAAAAATGATGCCGAAGGCACTGGCATATATGCGACAAAGAGTTTGTGGAGGCTTCCGTCGTGTTTGACGAATTCAGGCCTGCGGCTTCGACTTTTCTCCGCTCTGTGTAGGCCTAAGGTCTGCGTCCAGGCACGCAGCCACGATCTCAATATGTAGGGCAGTGATTTTGAGTCCGTGTAGGCTCTGCGCTGCTCGAATAACGAGTGTCATGAGTCAGTCTGACTACTGTTTCGGCGCAACGCATTTACAGGTCAGTCGTTTGAGAGGTCAGGGCTTCCCCTATGATTACTGAAATGGATAATCCAGTAAAATGTTGAATAGGTTTCTCCAAGGTCTATGCGGTAGAGTTTCGGATACGGCAAATGAACTATCAGTCTACTTAGACTCTTTTCTGGATTCTGCTTCTAATGAAATGAGCGCGCTCACTTGTCCGGCTTTGAGCATTTCTCAAATTCTCTTTTTGCACCCTATCATGTGCCGGGACCATCTGATTATCAGTGTTCAGGGTTTGACCTTAAGATTGATTGTATAACACATGACGCATTTGCGCGTTGGGGCAGTACAATCGCCTGCGAGCGAGCAATTTTACATACGAGACCTGGTGGCAGATTGGAATTTAGAGTTCGAGAGTTTCAGAATCTGGGAATTAACAAGTTCATCAACAGCCGTTGCCCGCTGACGATTGTATGACGGAACAAGTGGCCTGGGTTGCTAAATTGTTGTTTAAAGGAAGAAATTAACAGAAAATACGATTTGTGGCGAAAGGACTGCGCCACTGAGCTAGTTGAGTATTTCAGCACCTACTAGACACACAGAAACAGACCGAGGAGCATGCTTATAAAGGCGCGCCGAAAAATCGAGGAAAATTTGCTGCGGAGAACAACACAGAACCTAAAATTACTCCACAACTACCTCAGAAGAAGTGCGAGGAACAGGCACCAAATTCCCTTAATAAGGACTACCGAAGCCGCTGAGATTGCTGATGGCAAGGACAAAGTTGCATATTTTTCCACGGTTTTTCCTATCAGTCTACACAAACGAGACAAGGTTCCTTTCTCCCTTCACAGAAGAACTGCCGACTCCAAGCTTCAGTGATATACTCCTCTCAGAATGTGTTGTTCGGAGAGAATGAGAGGCGCGAAACGAATCGCACTTGCAAGGACCGGACGAGATTCCACCCCAGCTTCCCAAAGAACTTGCCAATGAGCCTCCTGTGCCTTTACCAATGCTCTTTCAAACGTTATTTGGCAGTGAAACACTTCCCACCAATTGGAAGCTGACACCTATTACTCCGCTACACAGAGGGGGTAACAGGGCATTGACGACAAATTACAGGCTCATAAACCTGAAATGCATTTTATGCGAAGTTATGAAGAGGATCATGAAGAGTGGATTGACGTATCTCCTAGAAGTCCACGACCTGTCATCGAACTGCCAACATGGGTTCCGGAAAAGAAGAACCTGCACAACAAACTTGCTGCAATCTCTCCAGAACTGGACCCGAGCTCTCGAAGACAGGCACGCGGTCCACCTAGCTTTCATTGACTTCCAGAAGGCGTCCGACACTGTGCCACACCAGAGGCTGTTACACATGCTTAAAAATGGGTTCAGAGACACCTTCTTTAAAGGGATCGAAAACTACCTTGTGGATCAACAGCAAGTTGAATGCATCGGTCAAGGAAAATCAGATCCATCTGTGGTCGAGAGTGCCGCTCCCCAGGGACCAGTACTGAGACCCATTTAGCTCCTGATATACGTAGACGATTGCGCGAGAGCTTTGGAGTACGAATTTGGAATGTTTGCCGACAACATGAAGATATGGAATGTAATTTGAGGTCCTCTTGACGATGACAGACTGCAGATGAGCTTACATCGGTTGGAAGAATGGTCAAAGCGTGCACTCCTGTAGTTCAGTGTTGGCAAACGTAGCCTAATTCGCTTAGGCAACACAACAAGATCCGCCAGCACAAGAGAATACTTCCTGGGTGGCTCAGCTTAACAAGACGTCTAAGCCCAAAAGGACCTCGGTGTGTTGACGACGAATTTCCTACAACCATTCGCTCATTATTCGAGAGTGGCAAATAACATAATGTTCGTACGGTAAGCCATTAAGCGGGCATCTATGGATTTAAGCGAAGATCCTTTCTCAAAGACATTAGGAACATTCGTCCGGCCGCATTTGGAGCACGGCATACAACCCTGGAGATCGTCGGCTTTTCAAATTCAACATTGCCTCGAACGAGTTCAGAGGAGAGCTCATTTTATCCCACCCGCCTAGTAAATCTGAACATTTTCCCCTTGACTTATTGGCAACTCTTCGGAGATCTCTTTCAAGCATTGCACATATTGAAGGGGTTGGACTGCAGCCTGGCCTTTGGAGGATTTTTTGAATTCACTCCCCCGATCTGCTTCCGAAGCCACCCGTTTAACCTGCGCACGCAGCAGGCAAGGCTGGATTTGGGGAAGTTTCCATTCTCTTTCCGAGTGGTCAAGTCATGTTATGCCCTCTCTGCAGGTGTTGTGGTGTCACCATCGGTAGAGAGTTTAAAAAAGAACTTCCATATATTAATGTTCCGAAATTACCTAGAGCGATGGGTGATCGATCTCACCCCCTTAGACCCACCTTCGTTTTGCAATGCAATTATGGGCTCGTTTGAATTATTTCAGACCGAATAGTTTCTCTGTACACCGCATCCAGTTTTACGTTGTGAATGGGGTACTCAAAAGCTCAGGCCTATGTCCCTCAATAATCTGGAGTGAAGTGAGCCTAACTGAAGTTCCTTGTCGATTGCCGTTCCTTTTCGCCAAAATGGCACAACCGACTGATATCGTGTTGAAATACCTTCCAGATCAACCTGCGTAGTAGCTACAGAAAAAACCGTTCTTTTTACAGTTTACAGCGCATCCCAGTTATTAATTAATTCGCAAAATCGAATAATAATAATAATAATAATAATATCGGGGATATAAATGTAGTCCCTGTCATGCCAACATATTCTCTGCAATCTCCAACACTGGGAAGATTTTGGAGGTTAGATCTGTGATGGTAGTGGTTTGCCACAAGCCTCTGTGGAACACGGCCACCGTTTTATAATTCGAAAGCTTAACATGTCAATAATAGGCTATTTAGGCCTTGTGGCATGGGCCGCTTTTGATGTAGGCAATAAGTTTTTCAGGTATACCATATATACGAGGATTTATAGTAGGTGCCTGCCGAGAAACTGTGCTAAGTCTTTTGATGATATCTATATAAATGGCCTCTGTATGCCCCTTAATGCTTGGCTTTATAATGCGTCTTTTGAAGGAACCAAGCATGGTACCGGTCTATAAGTTTATGCCCATTCAAGGAACTGCAGGTTATCGAGAAGGACATAATTCCGACCAATGTCTACTAGTATGGGGATCCAAAAACTCATGAAAAAGTTTACCTTTCTACTGCACTAATGACACGACCCTACGAATTTTAGGGGTGCCATAATCGTCCATGTTTAAACTGACAGAGGGACCCCAAATGCGGGCTAATCGGAAAGACATCTCCTCTCTCACAATCGCGCGATGATCTTCGCCCGTGTCCCAATCAGTCGCCTAAGCGCGTATCTAGAATAAATTTTTTCTCCATAAACGTAGTGCGGACTTAAAAGACACAGCAGAACCACAGACATTATTAGTACGGCCAGCAACTACAGAAAAAGCTCCAAGAAA